GGTCGCGCAAACCCCCTCACTACGTTCGGGTGTTATCATGCGCGGCCCTCAGAGCGCGAGAGCATTATTGCGTTATATCTAAACACCTAACACATAAAATTACATATCGAATTCCATTGTTTTCATGCATTACCTACCTTTACCGATCATTTTATAGTTCCTTTTCTTAATGTGTGTTATTGTTGTAAAGTTTAAAATCGCTCATCAATTGATTGATCTGGCTTTAGCCCCTTATGATAAAGTCACTATTATGACGCTACATTAGAACTAGACAGAAACAAAGTGTGAAGGGCCTGAACGGAACCCCTCGGTTTCAGTTCCTTGTTTAACACTGCCGTACAGCAAGTTTACTTTATATTAATTACTTTTTCGCCACTTACTTTTTAAATTTATAGTAGTTTAAATAATAATTGGTGGCTTTACAGCGATTCCCACTTTATGTTTCGAATTCCACCCAAAAGTTTAATAACACATGTGGCATAGACAGTAGGCAAAGCACCGGGCCATCATATTTATCACAACATATGTCTTGACGAATTATAGCAGTGATAAAGGGACCGTGTTTATACGGGCACAGGGCACTATTATATAGGGACACAATTCTAGAGATCTAGGAAGTAGATGTACTATAACCCGTTATTATTACACCCAAACAGTCTTCCCTATAGTTCTATTTGTTAAAGTTTTAATTTGTACTTTTCCATGTATTTCATGTGCAGAACTTTGACTGTTGCATACTGCTCAGTGCTAACCAGTTCAATTAGATCACACAGTTTTTAACATCGTATGGCAGTATCTTTAAAAGTTTAATAATCTAATGAGTAATCATGATAGTCTAAAAGAAAGGCTGATGTTCTACCTTTCAGCGTTCCAACTCAATCTTGAAGTAGCCTCGAAAGAGATCTGAAATTGATCATTTATATGTACCTAGTGTAAAAATATACCGGCCACCGGGTACCCCGATTAACCAGGGTAATTTCATCTCCCGAGAACCCCGGTACGTGTAAATTAGGGTTTGACTACAGCTATAATACTTCTCCCAATTCCGTCCCCTTGGTAGAATAAAGGAATAAGCTACACCGCAGTTCACAATTTATAAGAGTGTAACAAGTCAGCTGCGTAGCCAGCAATGATCGGCAGGGCAAGCGAAGCCTCCCCTTTTGCCGGGACTCAGCTGCCCTGGCAGATAATACTGGCTACATGGCTTGATCCTGCAAAAAGAATATTGCAAGAATTCTTAGACGATCATAATTGATTATATTTGGATAATATTAATAATCTGCCTCCTTACAGAATGAAATTGTAATGTAGGTGGAAATAATTCGATCAGGTTGCTTTGCAATTATGCGGCTAACAAATCCTGCAGAACGCCCAACTGAACCCCAACTTAATCCTTGTTACATATCCAGTTAGTATACAGTTAACGCATTGTATCGTATGATCATGAAATGATATCATATTAGGTTTATATAATTGCTTTGGATATTTGTATAGGAAGAACATTGTTAAGCTTTTTCCGCAAGCCCCTTTGTTGTTAGAGAGACTTGTTAGTGTAAAGTGGTAGTGCAGTGCTAATGTATTGTTGTGTGTATAAGCTATGACTTGTTTAAAGTAGTATAGACTTGTCTTGTATAGTAGTAGTAGACAGCAGTTTTTAGCTGCTGTCAGATAAAATGTTGTCAGTTTGACGATATAATGTCTTCCCTGCCTTTTTATCGTTTTAATAATATCGTTCCTTAGTCAAAATCAAAGCAGCAAATCAACTACAGTATACAGTCTATACTACGACTACAGTCCACAATTGCTTAAACCGCGGAAGTGTACTTCAAGGCAGGCCCGATATTAGTCTGAAATGTATTAGAAAGTGCCTCCGTCATCTACTCATCCAAAATTACTTGAAGTGCACTATACTCCAGTGACATATCCTCTTAGTAACGTCACTTGATTTGAAAAGATCTCACATTTTCATACCCTTCATGAACGAAGTTCAATATCACGATCCTTTTAAGAGGGTTTAAGAGCCTGTGGTCCTGTTGATCTTTATAAGCACTTCATGTAGTGTCATGTAGCATTATCAATTTTGTTTTCTCAGGAAATCCATTATACTATACGTTAATGTATTGTCAAATAAAAACGCAACTTATGTTAATTAAAAAGTTACTTTGTTGAATTTTCTCGATATCGACATTTTTGTTATTTCACAAATAACATGTTCCTATAACCAAAAAAGGTTTATCATTTTTCAATATTGTATTTAGAGCTCATTCCAAACCCCTAAACAGCCAAGAAACGATCAGCCTCTAAAGAGCAATAAGAACCCCGAAGAAGAATACCCCTGAAGTAAGGGGCCCGTTTAACAATTTAATAGTGAATGTGGTTCGGATTAGGAGACTCCAATAAATTCTACAAGATATCAGACTACGATAAGACTGGCCTCTGCCAGACCACCTATACATTCGTTGAGGAGGAAGACGGCAAGCTGTCCGGAGAGTGAGTGTTAAACCTAATTCTACACGTCATTATATATATAATTATCTGTCATTATCTAATTATATATGTAATTATGCGTTATAATATAATTATCAAAATTTCTCTCAACTTGGCGTGCATTTTCTCAACTTGCTCGTACACTTTTTTTGACAGAAACTTAACGTTCCGACGCCACAAAACCTTATAAATGGAAAACATCTGATCTCCACCAAACTGGCAACAATTCCGTTCCATCACGTGACCACTTCTTGGCTGGTTCGCACGAGTTACAACTCTGTGGGTACATGGAAACAAATTAAAGTCGTTAAGAGTGAGGTTAAAGGAACAGATCCACCTCGCCACCTACCCCGTTATAAGCCGTACAACCTCCCTCACCTACACCTGTCACTAACACCCTCATCCGCGCCGTACGTGCACTTGATTAGCTCAGAGTTTGGTATTTGCCGAATTATGATTTCGTATTGTTTTCAAGTTGTTGAGCCACCTTTAGTGGGAGTTTCGTGTTTGGTTTAGGCGGAGATTAGGAGTGTTAACGAGATGCATGTAGCCCGGTGTCCTGTAATAATCCATTACTGAGTACTGGTGTGCGGGAGATGTTACCAATTTGATGCTTTCAACAGTCTCATTATCACTGGCAGTGCTTTAGAGATACTAATACTGTAAAGACAATACCACATCACTTGTTGCATCTGTTTCGTTTATAAAAGTGTATGGCCAGAATTCAATTAATACCAGGTTTTTGACAATTGTTACTACGCGAGTATTAACCGGCCATGCCAGGATCCAATTTGCTGCGTCTATTTTAAAGTTAACGTTTTAAAACAAAATGCAAACATGTCACATACCTTCGTTATATAGTTATATAAGAAAGCTTGATGCCTATATACTTACATACGCGGCAGAAATTTTTAGAATGCACTGGAATAACAGGAATAGGCAACAGTTGGCACATGTAACAATCTGATTACAGTGTGTGTTATGTTGAAATATATTATAACGGAAGTATCCGCCACCGGAAGAATACTCAGTTACACATCTGACATCACACTTAGGGCTACCAAAAATCAGGAGAATGTAGACCTTCAATCTGTCAGAATACCTCAAGAGGCACTGTAGTTCTAGAGGTTTTGATAATATCCCGATGAGAGTATCTTAGTTTTAAATGACAGTCTGTCTCGAAAAGCCGAGGGGTTGATCCACAAGCCTGTAGCATTGCGGTTTAAAGTCAAAATTATGAATGAAACTGTTTGATTGACAATAATTCCAAAACACACAGTTAACCTGAGAGCAAACGTTTTGCCGCTCTATACTTCCAATTCTAGAAACTGCTGCGAGATTCTTTGAAGGCTAGTGGCGGTCCAATTGAAATATAGTAAAATTGAAAGTGGTAAATCAACCTGTCATCTGCGGCTGCAGTTAGCACATAACAAGCTCGCTCAACGGTCGGTCAGTAGTCGCTCCACAGTCCTGTTCACAAGTTCTCCAAGGTTTTGACTTTTGTGCACTATTATACTGACAAACATTTTCTCAGTGACACCTGCAAACTTGTTGACCGTGATAAGTCTTAACCTTATATGGTATAAACACTACCATGGAAACATTACCCTATGTATGTACATAAGAATAATCTCTCCCAGCCATCCTTAGATCATTGCCAATAGGATAAACATAATTTTCCCCGAAAATTACCGCACCAACAATCGCGGATTTACGAATTGTACGTTTATAATCGTATTAAATTGTTATTACCACTGCCTCCGTGAGTGTGCCCTTTCGAGCTGAAGCAGTGAGTGATGGCAACTCTTTCTGTCCACATTTTATCCAGTGAAGGTGACTTCGAAACTGAAAGACGTTTGTTCTCCTCCTGGAAAGCCCCCATGATAGGGGACATCTGCATGTTCCTCATGTTTAGGCTTGAGACCATAGAGCGGAGTACGGACTATTGCTTGCTATGCCGCCACTCTTGTTGGTTGGTTTAAGTCATGTCGCTAAAATACAGCTATCTGGTTGGCTAGTTTGAGTCACATGGCTAGAATTCATCTCTCTCGTTGGCTTGATCGCAGGCGTATTTCCGCTGCTTCAAGTGATAATGCTAGCAGCATCGTGTATAATATTCATATGTAACTTTAAGTTTTCGTATAAGTGTGTTTAACTAATAATAACCTTATTCCACGTTGTAGAACTTTTAATAGTCTTCACCTCTCCGAAACCTCTCCACCTCCCTAAAACCTTGCGTCCTATAAGTAAACCATTTATTTTCAAGTCTGCAGTAAGAGACGATACTACATTTTCTGACCAACTAACAAGACGATAATTCGTTTTGGCAAATACGTTTATCGAAATTCATTGCAGAATAATAAGTCTTAACCTAATATGGTGGTATTATCATGGTGACCTCATCACCCTTCATAGTAATAATCTCTCCAGGGCTGCCTTCGATAATTCATTATTGCCAACTTCGTTAAAGCATTAAGATAACTCCGTACTAGACCTGCACTGCAATAATTGCTGTTTTACGGATAAGATTATCAGTTTGATAAACTGTTTATTAAGACTGTGATTAGCTTCTTCTGACTCTTAAATATACCGCAAATTAGATTTGTTCAGAGAGATTTGTCTTTCTACTAATGTCCTTGTTTATTGCTTACCGTTGACGGTCGATATACTGCAGTATAGGTTAAAGGTTGAGAGAATAGCGAGACCATGTGTGGATGTAAATCCTGCTGGATACAGTAAGTACCTTATTTCTCTCTTCAAATGTTTGTTTTTACTCCGCAAAACTACGTCTTAATTTGTTATTACTCGGTAGATAAGTGGACATTTTTTTTTACACAAGCTTCCATTCACGGGATAGCCAGTTACCTGGCAACGCCCGCTCATGATGCACTTCTCCAAGCTCACACAAGTGTCAGCAAGGAGGAAGATATTCATGCATTTCTGCACGAGGAGCCCATCACAGCTACCAACAATTAATTGTTATTATTACTGAGCGGAAAGCTATGACGCGTCTCAGACCATTTGTTGTTGGGACCAGATTTGGTGGCAGTACCAGGGTCCACTAATGAACTTTCTGTATAGTTAGTAATTACTCATTAGTGTTTATTAATTGCTAATGAGTTCAGTATAATTACTTAATTACTGGAACTTTCTTTTAATTGTCTTCTACTTCTGGGATACTTTATAGGGAGTGTTCTGGGGATATGTTAGTGAGAATACCTTGTAGATCTTTAAATTTCTAAAGTGCGTTGATGTTTAAATGATCTATACTAACATTGCAATGAATCCATGCATAAGCGTTTACTGAGGACTGTTAGACAGTAAACTATAAAATGCCCTGTTTTGTTTGTCTAGTTTGGGTTTATCGAAGAAAGTCTTTTAACCTGAAAACTTTATTTTTTCTTTCACCTACAAAAAAACTTTAAAAACAGAAAAAAATTCCTACGGAAATGAATGGTGTAAAATTGGGGGACGGCGTCTAATCGGGACTTGTAAAAAGCAGACGGATTGCACTACTTTTGTAAATCGTATTAATTCATGCTGGATCACTACGTCGGCGACCTTCTGAAGTAGTGAGAGATGACAACACCAACACCATGACAGCACCATGGCAACACCCTCCACGCGCTCCCCTCTCCACATCTCATCCACTTGAGATGATATTGAAAGACACTCCCTCTCGCCTTGGAAAGTCCCTCATCATGTTGATGCTTCCGGGCATAGGGCGGACTTTTGCTTGCTTTGCCAACCCTCTGATTGGTTATTTTAAGTCATGAATTTATACAATACAGATCTCTCGTTGGTCAGACCTTTATAGTTCTACAGCTTCAAGTTGAGGACCAGCACATCGTGAATAACATTCGGATGATACTGTGCGAGTTCTCGAATTGTGTCTAACCACTTTTCCATATTCCTTGCCTAGGAGCTTTACTTGTGATACTCTTCACCTCTCCTCACCTCTTGACATTTCAAGAGAAAACATACTTTGTAGCCTTCAAAAAATATTATTCTAATTTTATCATCACATTATATAACGGACAATGTTCAGCTCACTGACTAACGATACGATAAATCATTTGTATTTTAAGTTACATAAAAATTCTAAATACCATATAATATATTAGGGCTCCAGTATAGACTCTGGCGTGATGGGTAAAGAAACTGCATTTTTTCTTTGGGGGGTAATTGATAACAATATATTTGATTTAATACACATTCACATTTTACGAGTTTAACAGTTCATGTTTAAACTTTAAAAACAGTTAACTGCTCTCCTGTAATTCAACCCGTCTTCTAGCATCATACAAGCGTTGAACGGGTAGAGCTCTTTTATTAGGCTGCCGTATATTCTGGGCGCTTTTCTTGTGAAGCTTCTAATCTAGTGTATTATTTGTTCTCCTGAATCTCATCGGCAGACTACATTACTTTTGTTTTTCATCTCATTGACTGTTCCATTAATTTAGCACTCTGGTGTAATCAGTACCAATCAAACACGGATGTTTTCGCTTGTTATCTGATAATCGTGTCGGCACACTGCCAGTAAAACGTTTCCCCTAACCGTCGGAGATGCTTTCTCGACCAGGCACCTTTGTTCGTAAACCAGCGAAGTCTAAGCTCTGATTTATATTTTGAATTCCATTACGTCAATTTACGTGCACAGATCATGGTCTCCGTCAGACACATCTTGAAAGTAATTTAGATAGTGACGTAGACTGATAGACTGGTATACAGGATATATTTCAATGGACGTGACAGGGTCTCAGGGAGACCTTTGTACTGGTCTATAATGGAGCTTTTGTAGGTGACACTGTAAGAGGGACCGAGCAGGTCTGGTCAGGGGTAGGAAATCTCCATATGTTAATCAGATTGTTAAAAACCTCTCAAATTAACAGTTAACCAGCTCTGTGATACACCCCTGCACATTGTGTTATAGTGAGGGTGGTTAGGGTGGTTAGGAGGGTTTCCATGGTGATTGGTGCTGCATGTTCTTAATTCTCAGTTATACTTTACACCTTAAACTTTTGGTCCCTTAAACGCGCTTGTACCATAACTTTCATCTAACTGGTGCTAAATTTACGAAACATTTGTAAAGTCAAAAGAGGGTTAAGGGTCTTGTCTTAATATTTCAGAACCAAATTAATAGGCGAAAAATTTAAAAAATAATCACGTTCACAGTAAACAAAACTAAAATATAAAAATGGTAAAATTTACAGTCGATTTAATATCGGAACAAACTTTAGAACCTAACTTTCGCCGACGTAATTGTGTGTTGAAGCCAAATCAAAATGGCCCTGTTATTACCTACACCAGAATGTTCTGTATCCAGCAAATCTCTGATATTATCCTATCTAAGATTAGCGGCAGAGAGTATTATATTAAAAGCAGCAAAGTTTAGGCAGATCGTCATTAATTCCTCCAGCTTCTATTTACTAGTAACTAGTTCTACAGTCTTCAGCAATGAAACGCTACTGTAATCCGTTCCGTTAATTCTTAAGTCCAATAAGAATCTAAGTGCCGTCCTTATTTTATTATCTAAGATGAACCTAGGAAGGATATGATGACTGATGTTCGGATTAATCGTGCAGCTGGATGTATTTATACAAGCTGTCCGCACCAGTCACCAGCTAGTTAGACCTCACGATCAGTTAACTCTTTTCATTTTGTGATTTCCATTTTTTTTTTCAGATGAAGAATCTTCTTATGATTTCATATTGAGAAATGAGGATGGTTGTAATTTTCAAGTTTTTGTTGCTAATTCATGATCTCATGAAAGAGAACTGCTCTCAGTCGAACCAGGTTTTCAAGTGCACTGAATAAATGGTCGCACAATCATTTTCCATTCTCCGGCTCTGCCGACGGAATAAAAGATGGTGGTGATTCGACTCTCTTTTGCTAGAATGCTCGAATACATCTTTATTGAATTACCTGATATTAACCCTTTGATCGGTCTACACCTTTTGTCAGGTTTAATTGTATTTTTTTAATACCTGCACACATCCATTCACCTAACTTAAGCAACAAAAGCTGGCTCAGCTTTGGTTGTGTAAAACTTGTACTTAATACTTTGATATCATTGTAATAGTTCTCTCTGATTATTGTTTACCTGACTCACCATTCGGGTGCAGTCCCTTGTAATTTGTTTCCGCTTTCTTGGAAAGTTGTCCAACTTTTATAAAAAACACCGTGATCTAATCAGGATCCTGAGTATGAATATTTATATATATTTATATTGTTAGTCAGCCACAACTGTCAGTAAAACAACGCGTTGACTTCAAATGTCCGTAGAATATACCTTTACAGTCATCCTCAAATTATTTGTAATATAGTAGTGTTGAAAGTATTAATTATTATTATTATTCATATATAATATATATATATATAAATATGATGGCAACTGCAGGGAGGCAGTTTTGCCGCTCCAACAAACATATCATGGTTAATGTCATTCTCTTAATACTTATACCCTGCTGTATTATAAACCAAATATCATAGTGAATAAAAAGTGAAGATTCAGAATGAGGCGTGGAAAATGCCCATACTGACTAAGATGACCAGTTTAGCGCGAATTTCTGAATAGTTTAAAGATTGAAGCCATGATAACACTAGTTAACGTAATAGACGCTAGTAATAAACGCTAGAAATGAAATCTAGTAATAAACACGTACAGTACCTGGTCTCCGTTTTTAATATTTTACACACCGAGCGGCGAACACTAATCTAAGCAGTATATCTACTCTCTAGGCGGGATTGTAAAAACAGATTAGTCAAAACACGCACACAGTACAAAAAAACTAAGTTGACCTATATTAATGGTTTATGACGAATAAACCAATTAACAGCTAAGCGCCGGCCAGAAATAAATGTAAAAACCAATATCATGTATATCAAAAAGTAATTCGAGTTATAAACCTTGGTCCACTAGGTCGAGTAGGTAGAAATTAGAATAGGTCGAGTAGGTCGAGTAAACAGATTTTGAAGAGCTGGTCGTTGGACGATGTAACCAATGTGAGCAAGATTAGCCTAAACACTTCATAGTAAATGCCTAGTCCATGGGATACATCGCCACCTCCTGCCTCACTGTCTTGATTTATACGGGCATTAAAAGCAAAGTTAGTTCACAATGCAGTCTAGTTCACAGACTAGTTTTCTTGAAATATTAACATAAAATTATCATAATTTTCAATTGTGTGTGTAAGGTAATCGCCCCAGAATTGCTATATGGGCATTTGGCATTGTCCCACACCACATTTCATGCTATAAATCATGTCAAATTATTCAAATGCTCCTAAACCCTAGCCCACAAGATAGGGTAGAATCACGGGCCATTTTCCATTTGTCAAGTGTGGTGAGTTAATAAGTCGTGTAGGTACGATCCTCAGCTTACAAAACATTCTCAGTTCGCACCTTGGTTTACGTTTCTGTCTTTCAATTGGACAATGGTATTTTCAGTTACTCGTTCATTTGTGTCAGTGTCCCGTGCTTATTGTATGCTCTTCATATTCACGATGCACGTGTCCCTGAAACAGCAACAGATCCCTTGGCACTCACCCTTAATCGGCCTTTTAGCATGAGCTTCCACTATGTCATTGAGCAGCAAGATAGTCGAAACGTATGATCTGCACATATTCCCTTTTGTATAGTATAAAAATGGAACAGTTAAATTACATAATACCTTGTATATGTCGTTCTCCACAACCTTTTGATACTTGCTGAACTCTGTAAGTATAAGATGAAT